TTAGAAAACTGCCATGAAGCAGTTTTTATTGCTATAATGCAAAGTGTATCGAGGGAATGCATGTGTAGTATCCCTGCCCGACCAATACGGAAGCAGTACGGAACTAATACGGAGTTTTGCCTGATGTATATTTAGTGTATCTCCGTATGTAAGCGTACGGAGTCTGCTGCATAAAAGCGGCTGCGTATTTCGGTTTTAATTAGATTAGATTAGATAGCAACGAAAGCTAACTCGAAGAAGAAGTAGTCAACCTCTAGGTGAGCACCGGAGAGAAAGTTATTTATTTTGCCGCTTCTTCTTTCACTAATAATTATATCTCAGGTGTGTACCTGAGAGAAGTAGAATAAAACTAATTCTTGTTGATTTCACCGCGCCTACCACTCGGCTACCATTACATTGGTGGCAGCGGTGGGATTCGAACCCACGCCTCCGGAGAGACTGGAAAATAAATAAAACGGGTCGCTTGGAATCGCCATCAGAGTCTCAAGTGGATACCATGCGGAGGGAAGGGTGATCCACGCTAGCACCCTGGCTTGGCCCTGCTTATTAGCTTGCAGCACAGCCAGGGTGCTAGCGTGGATCACCCTTCCCTCCGCATGGTATCCACTGGAGACTACGATGGCGATTCCAAGCGACCCGCTACCTACATGTATACTACCGGTGGTGATGGCGAAGCTAATGAGGACGACAACAGGCAGGCCTCTGCCCAAGACGAGGGGGTATTCCCCAAGACCAGCAGCGTTTGATTTTCGCCGGCACGCAGTCGGAAGCAGGAGCCCACTCTTCACTTGGTACTTCGCCTCCGTGGTGGGATGCAGATTTTCGTCAACACTCTTCCTGGCTAGACCATCATTCTTTACGTCGCGCAAAGCGATGCTATCGACAATGTGAAGACCACGATTCAAGACGAGGAGGGAGTTGATTTGTTTGACGCCGAGCTAGCCGCTCTGAGTGACCGGCACAACCAAGATGAAGATAAAACCTGGCTTGCTCTCCGCCGTAGCTCCAGCCGCCGCCGTGGTTACTTACGCTGATTCCAGGTATGGCATTTTCTTTCCTGACTTCCTGCAGTCTCCCTATTCTCTTCAGTCTTCCTTTATGCGAGTGTGTGAATCCAGTTTAGTTTGGTAGGCGTCTGATCATGGTGAGCCACGGCTTACCTAAGTAATCTGGTGAGAGAAGTGTGAGAGAATCCCCTTTTACACTCCAGGTGTGTACCGGAGTAAGTTCCCACGATGCAGTGCATTTTTTTTGAAATTGTGAATTTCCTGGCAGTTTGAGCCCGCGATGTGCAGAAATTTGGCTGTCTTTCACGTCCTGTTTGGAGGACCATTCTTTCTCTTTTGACTCCGTGAGATCGTGTGAACCTGGTGTGCTTCTACTTTATGATTTGTTATCAGTTCATTTCGTCTGTCTACTCTAAACGTTATCATTTCCGGTATAATTTGCCATCTTCCGCTTGACGCTGTGTTCGTAACTCTTCACTAATTTTTTGAAAATCACGAGGGCGTGATTATCTGTAGGAAGGGAGGGTGTAGTATCCCTGCCCGACCAATACGGAAGCAGCACGGAACTAATACGGAGCTTTGCCTGATGTATATTTAGTGTATCTCCGTATGTAAGCGTACGGAGTCTGCTGCATAAAAGCGGCTGCGCATTTCGGTTTTAATTAGATTAGATTAGGTAGCAACGAAAGCTAACTCGAAGAAGAAGTAGTCAACCTCTAGGTGAGCACCGGGGAGAAAGTTATTTATTTTCCGCTTCTTCTTTCACTAATAATTATATCTCAGGTGTGTACCTGAGAGAAGTAGAATAAAACTAATTCTTGTTGATTTCACCGCGCCTACCACTCGGCTACCATTACACATGTAAGGCTATAGTGCGCGTTCGAATCCCATGTTATAGGTATCTTTTTAAGAATAGGAGAAATGAAAAAGAAACATCAGTTGCAGGGTAAATGGAGCCGAAAGCCACGGGCAACAAAGTTTCACGACAGCGCTAGATGATACTGCAGCATTCGTCACCCAGAAGCGCGCAGCTTTCTCCAAACCCCGCCACTAGGCCTATGTCGCCCCACAGCTAACACAGATGTTTCTTCAACGAAGCCTAGCCCATCCCGCCTCAATAAAGTACCCCATGGATGCAGCCCCAGACAGCAGGATTGAGCAATACGTCGTCAAGAAGGGTTTCTAGTTGATTGCAACAACAACATATGGAGCACTAGCGCAATCGTCCTGTCTAATGAGTCTAGTTGTTTTTGGCAAAAAACACTCGGATGTTGTTGAGGCAATAATATTAATTAACAAAGAAGAAAGGACCACTAAGTTAGGAGTTATGACTAAGAGTGCATCAAAGTAACGAGAAACTATCCAGTCAGCTAGTGCGACAACAAGGGGTTTGGCACTTCCTATAATATTAGATTGGACCAAATGTTTAAATACAGAAGTTGTTTCCCCACACGACACCATTTCGCCAAGATATGTCCGTAATGATCCTGGACAAGGAAAGCATACTATGGCTTCAGAACCACTCGGATGTTGAGCCAATTGAGAAAGGACGAATACTTTCGGGTTATGACTAACAGCCTGCCAAAGCAATGAGATATTATACAGTCAGATAGTGCGATACCAAGTAATTACGCTGACAGGGATATTCAGACAGGTACCCAATGAGAATTCCAACGAAAGCCACGTGCACCTTAGCACTCTAGTATATCTTGCAGAAAGGTGTTGTCATTGATGGCATGGTCATGTCTATTCCATTAGTTGCTTTGCAAACTGCTGCTTGCAGTCTCCCCACGTTCTTTTCAGTGCTAATGAATTGACTGTTGCGTTTGCATGCCACGGCCCACAGGCAAATCTATGCATTTTTAGTATTGTGCCCCATCTGAGAGAATTTCGAGATAAATATCAAACTCACTGGAAACCATTCCATGCATGAACGCGACCATGCTGTGTATTCAAATACTCAGTGCTTGGTGCATTTACTTCATATGCAGAGTAAAGCAGTAAACGAAATACAACTTGCCCACGGTAGTCGTTGGATTCGTAGGATTGACTTCACATAGCCAGTATCGCCACCACGCACATTGATTATACCCACAACGACACGCACAGATACAAACACTTCACTCAAAACCTAGAGCACAGCAACATGTGGACCTTGGAAAACACATAATAACTTTGTCAGAACACTGATAGCAATTATCAAGCTGAAATCTAATGTTGTTTCAAAATAAATTATTACATATTTTGTTTCAGAATTTTTGCACTATTACTTCTGTGAACAAATTTAATTGAAAAGGAGCAAGAAAAAGCGTCAGTTGAGTTTTTACGCTTTGCACACTGGATTCGTACATTCGCGCAACAACAGTATACCCTGATTTCCTGATGCCGAATAAATGCATGGAGCAAATGTGCAAGATATCTGTAAGGTTCCTCCTCCCGTACGTCTACAACCATATCCAAGTTGGCCTGCATGCACTCTCATACGTTTTTGCCTCCTTTTGTTCCGTTGGCCTGGGAAGCTACTTGCGCGCCCATAATTGCCATAGCTACCCAGGCCCTTTATGTTGCCGTTCACACTTGCTCTCTACCTCTTCTTTCTCTCTTACACAATGACGTCGTTCCGTTTGTCTTGGTCTCTGTCTCTTCGTCCCCTGTAATAAATGTTCCACCTACCAGTTTTCGTTGTCCATTATTGTGCTTGGAGAGTATGACTTCCTCCTGTTGGAACCCAACATATGTAGTATCCCTGCCCGACCAATACGGAAGTAGTACGGAACTAATACGGAGCTTTGCCTGATGTATATTTAGTGTATCTCTGTATGTAAGCGTACGGCGTCTGCTGCATTAAAGCGGCTGCGCATTTCTGTTTTGAGGAAGATAAGATTAGATAGCAACGAAAGCTAACTCGAAGAAGAAGAAATCAACCTCTAGGTGAGCACCGGAGAGAAAGTTATTTATTTTGCCGCTTCTTCTTTCACTAATAATTATATCTCAGGTGTGTACCTGAAAGAAGTAGAATAAAACTAATATGAAACTCGGATGTTGAGCCATAAATAAATGTAGAAGAGAAAAGGACATATGGATACGAGTTAAGAGTAACTCTCCATCACTGTAACATGATACTTTATACAGTCAGAAAGTGCAATAACTAGGCACAAAACTGACAGAGTACTGAAACATTCGACGTCCTGACACCTAGCTTCAACACATCTCCGTAGCGCTAACCGACAGCCTTCCAACTTGGAAGGTTCAAGGTTATGGAAAGACCAAAGAGGGGAAGGCAAGCGCAACGAAAACGAGCAAAAGCTACAGTCCCAACGGAACAAAGAATGTCGATTGTTATTGCACTTTCTGACTGTATAAAGTATCATGTTACAGTGATGGAGAGTTACTCTTAACTCGTATCCATATGTCCTTTTCTCTTCTACAATAAAACTAATTCTTGTTGATTTCACCGCGCCTACCACTCGGCTACCTGTTACACATATCCTTAGTGATAATTGGACTTGGAAAACACTACATAATTCAGTCCTCTCGGAGCAGAACGTTAAACGGCCTACACAAGCCAAGCCGATGATTGGTCAATTCCCTCTATATTAAAGAGGGAGGGCTTTCTTGCAAGTTTGCAAGGTGCGACAGGCTGTTCATGTGCTCTGAATAGCAGCCGTAAGTCATGCAAGTGTCAAGCCAGTCAGCAGGAAGCGCAAGCTTCCACGTTTAGTGCAGCCAAACAATAAGTGCTGTCTAAATTATTTTGCCCTATTCCCTGCATGAGCCCAATGATAAGAAAGAGACAAACACGATATACCTTTTAAGTTAGACATGATGTGTAGTCTGCGTAGACACATAAAATATAGGTGGCAGAAATACGGTTCATCGCCAACAGATTTTTAGTATGCTCTCCTAGCCATGATTCTTCCAAACATTCTCTAGCTAGATCAACACTGCAGTGGAGAAATTCTTAAAGATAAACCTCAACTACAGAATTCTTACCTGTGCAATTTGGTAGGTTAGACAGGGTCCCGTTCAGCATACATGTAACGTTCCTCCCTTTTTCCGTTGAAGTGTAGTTATCATTGCAAGCCACATACATTGAATTATTCACTTCCAATCTCGGAATATCATCCAAGAGGGAGTTTCCTTCTTGAGCGGGGCAATGGGTTGCTGAAGATGGGAATGGAATAGAAGAAAATAGGTAAAGGCACACTCTGCAGACAGTGAAAAGGAGTTATACAAATGATACTACATAAACTCATGAGACGTTCACCAAAACAGGCGGATATATCAATGTGGAGAAAGGAACGGACTTTTACAGCACCAAACAGTGGTACATAATTACTTACGCACACAGTCCTGAGCAGACCTTGTCCAGATTTCATCAATACTGTTACATGGGCAATTTATGCCTTGTATGTTAGACACAGTGATCCTGGCACAGCTGGTAACACTCGCATTATTGCAAACCATAGAGCAGCCTAGAATGCAGCATATAGAACACAAACAATATTCCAATGAAAATGATTCATCTCTTGATGACAGCTATTCTTACATACCTTTTTTTTGGATTTCCCTGTACTTGGCCTTACTGCCTGACCCGTGCCCTCTCATGAACATTATATAAAATAGCAGAAATAAACCACACACTAACAAGATGAAACACCAATGTGCAACTGGCAGTAACTACAACTGTATGAAAGAAAGAACTGGTCAAACTCATATCAAATTCCACAGAAGCCTCTTAGTGCTCATTGTGTTAATACTGTATGAGATAAACATTGCGATGTCTCTTATAATACTGTACCACCATATTGTTCATCTGACTAATGAGGGAAACCTAAATGAAAATATCAGTATGCTGTGAACAGACTCTGGACGGAATATTTCTTCAGAATTGGAAATTCCTTGGACCACTGGGATACAGACTTACTTTCACACAATGGTGGACTTGGTTGCCACCTTCCATTGCCCTGGCATGTAGACTGGGTTATTTCCATACTATTGTTAGACAGAAAACCTGTTCTGCACTCGATGGGTACTGGGGTACCCGCCGGTTGTCTGCTGAAACCGGGAATAGGTTTGTAATTAAAACCACTGTCAGTGAGATCTGGACATAGTGCTGGGAACAAAGAGGTAAAATACACGGCCATTACTCACAGTAAGTGAAAACCTCACCCAATAAAAGTGCTACGATGGTCCATAAAGATAGAAGCAGACAGTGTTTTAGTGGTCCAATTACAACAAGTGTACATCCAGACCGGTGGCACTTGTCCGTGTTCTGTTGAAAATCATTTTTTCACATATTGAAATTGGGCAAAAATGAATGAAATTTGATGGAAGCTTGAAAAAGAACAACAACCATTGTTGACCGGACAGAAAAATAACAACGTTTAGACAGAAAGAGCATGCGATTATATACAGGACACGTTCCCCACAAAAAAATGAGTCGACAACATCAGAGAAGACCTCCAACCTCTGAATGAGCCGATTCAGGAATGCCTCAACCTCGCCACCAACAAGCAACTCTGGCTAACGATCATTGACAGATGCATGACCCCGTATGATTATTCATGCGGCAATGTGCAACCTGTTCATATTTTTATTATGCACGTTTGAAACGAAGCATGTGATGAGTACTTGGGTACAAGCCAAATAGAGATGACCATCACTATAGTGATAGGTAAGTGCAAAGCTGGGAGGACATCATGGTTTGTTAAGTTATGCCCGCAGGGTGTCCCAAGGGTCATCGATGTGATGGAAGGGGAGCTGATGTGCCTGCAAGACCATCCAGACCTCTTTGCCCTCGTGCTGCCTCGCCAGGAAGCTAGCCTCACCTCACGCAGCTCCTTGTGCACGGGGCCAGCTACAAACAGTATCCCCCCCCTCCCATACCGCCCCAACTTTCTTCAGCGTTCGATCCCATATGGTGTGGCTAATGAATGGATCAGGCTGCCGCAAGACATGTGCCCTGAACCTACCTGTACGCCCTGCCTGCTTGTTCTCCAATCTTTCCAGACGAAAGTCCACCGCCACTTGCTTCAAATTAATTGGCTCTGTGCTAAGGACTCCCTGTGATGCTTTGTCACCCGTCAATGAGCAGCTACCCTCGTCCATCATCCCTTTCTTGTTTTTTTTCTTTTATTTAGTTATTATAAACGTTCTCTTTCTTGTGACTCTCTCTCCTTTCTCACTCGATCTCCCTCCCTTCTTCCCTAGCTGCAGTCCTGTGGATGCCTAGACATGGCTTTGATTCCTAGACCAACGGTCGGATGAGCCTTGCCAACCACGTCCGCACATCGCTCCTAATCTCCTTTGTCTTGTTGTCCATTGGCATTTCAGTTGTTATCTTTTTCTGATTATTAGTAGGGCTGTGTTTGCCAGTAAAAAGAAAGAAAAAGGTGGGGATTCTGAGTAGCCTCAGTAGAAACCACACCGACCAAAAACAGCAGTGTTCAGACCATCCATCGGTGAATCATCATTGGCCTTGTGGCAATGCGCCACGGGTGATGTAAAATATCTCAGTAAAGCTGAAAATCCGCAAAGGTTCACCTTTCTGTGTTCATTGTCGATAGCGCTTACCTTCATGTAAATTACAAAATCTGTACTCAACACAGAATACTTTTGAACAAGAGTACTGTGAACTGTGATCGGCATGCATACCTGACCAGTTAATTAGACTTCAGAATCAAAACACTTTCAAATATTTACCCTTGAACTTTGATACTAGCAACTGTCCATTTAAGGAACTTCAGCAAGCAAGATGTAGCTCATTGTAGGTGTATCCTGCTCATTTCACCACCATGCCCAAGTTTACAAACTTAACGTACCACTGTTGCTAATTTGTATTACGACTATGATTTACGCTTGTCGTTGTATTTGGTTCTTGTCTTGTGGAGTCCAGTGTCTGATGTCATATAATGGTCTAAGTGTACGTGCGAGTATGGTGTGATGTGTGACGTTTATGGTATGTGGTGCATGCAACAGTACGCGTTGTCAGAGTGTGAGGATGTGCTTCCGTCTGTGTGAGAGTGACTGTCAAGTGAATGCTGTACATGCGCAGTGCTAGTTTGGTCTCGGAACGAGAGTCGTGTGTGTGATTCGTCCGTGGTCGGGTTGTCTTGGTCTTGGTCATGTGTTCTGTACGTGTTGGTCCCTGATTGGTCGTCTCGATTTGTCGCCGGTTTATTACTGCTTGTTCTTTGTTGTTTTCGGAGAGTCTTTTCCAGGGAGTCTTTCCGGTCGTCGTTTTGTCCTCACAAAGTTTGTCTCTCTCCTCCTGCGCCCTCACCATTTGTTGATAGAATATAAGTACTGAAGATATAACCAAGAGTTTGCGTTGTTGTGTGGCGGGGGCCAGGGGGAGAAGACTACTTCACCACGGCGTCAGTGGGTCGAATGCACGGGACATGACATATGTCTTATACATGTAATGATGTCCTCAGAGGCAAACGGTTTTAACCTCAACGGTATGGGCCTACCCTGGAATGACCGCAAGAAGCACATTCCTGAATTTCGAGGTGCACCATTCTATTTCAAATCACAACATTGATTCTATTTGACCATTTCTGATAATTTTTACTTTTTGACATTTGTCGGCTCCTTGAAGAGAAAAACACTATGAGCAGGGTGTTCGCTGCCTCGAACCCAGATCCATTTTGAGTGGAAACAGGTTTGTACGGGGTCCGTAGCACAACCGTACTTCACTGTGTTTTCTGCCTTGGCCAGGCAAAATTTTAGCAGCTCAGGACGAGTTGGTTTCTTTGTTGGAAAGAGGAGATGTCTCTGCTGTTGAGACCGTAAGTCCCATTTTCACACGACGAATTTTAGCAATGTTCCGCCCTGCGCAATTAATCTGTATCGATTTCGGCCTGTTCTGGGCCGTTCGCAACGCCGGTGACCATTCCATTGTCTTCAGCGTCGAATAACTACGCAGTGTGTGAGATTGGAGGCTGTACGATGCTGTCTTCTTGTTCTATGAGCGATCGATTTTCTCCCAGATACCAAATGTATGGAGTACATGTACATGTCCATTGTACATGGAGTTGACATGGTTGATGGACTTTGCTGTAGTGCTGTCTATTTGTAGTTTCGCTGAGGTACCACATCAGATAAACCTCTGGTAGCTGTATCTGAAAAGTGGAGAAAGCCATTGTCAAGAACAGATTTCCGGCCCATACTGCGTTTAATATGTACCTGGGAATCTGCACAGAAATGACACTCTGAGAATTTTCAAAATTGCAGCGCGCTAACGCAGTGCAGCTACGCAATGCCGTATGTACCATGTATGGAGTACATTCTCCTCCACATACATGTAGCAAGGGCAATTAACACATTTTTTTTTGAAGAATCCTTTCTTGAACACAATAACATAAAACGAATCATCAGACACAGTAATGATTATACAGAGTCTGTCACTCAATAGGATCACTGCAGGTTCACTGGATGCGTGCCTCCGCCACCACTAGCACAGCAGGGGACTCAGGCACGGAAGGAGCAAACATGCTCCTTGAGCCACGCAGGCACATAGCACCACAACGCACCAGGCCAAACCCAATGCGGCAGCGCAGCAAGGAGATAATCTGCGCGTATGGCTCCTTGCTCTTCTCAGGCAGGAGAGAGGCGATCCGCGTGAAAAGAGCATTGGCATGCTTGCCATAGCCACCAGAGGCAGAAAGCACAACGGGCACGAAGGAGGCATGCTCAACTTCACGTACTCGCTTTTCGTACTCCCCGCGCTTTTCCTGTTCATGGCGTCTGTAGCTAGCAGCGAGGAATGTGGCACGATACGAAGACGCAAAAGGGTTGAACACCCGTACATGAATAAAGATGCGCTCGAATCGGCCATCCCACACACCACTAGCCGCAACGTCCAGCCGAGCTCCTGCGTGACAGCTGTGCGATGGCGAAATGCCTCTCGGGTGACGGGCTGGAGGTGGGGTTCCACTGTCATGTTATGAGCGACCTGCCTTAGAGCTCTGGCGGTGATGTCCCTCACCACGTTATGTAGCAGCGTCGGCAAGCCACCAAACGGGCAAGACAGGGCATGACTCACATTCAGCGGCTTACTGCACATTCAGAGGTTTGGCGGCCGAGGAGGTGTCCAGCCATACCGGAGGCACAGGCTATCCCGGAAATCTCTCTTGGTGAGGGTGAAACCATGGCGGCTGAGGGGGCGGCAGGTCAGCCAGCTAGATGGACCCTTTTCTCAGGGCAGGTCGAGAACAGGGGCAAGCTCCCGACGATCCGAGCGAAGGGCGTCAGCCATAGACTTGAACGCGCTCTGCTTCTCGGGACGAATCGTCAACTTAACGGTCCGGAGCTAAGTCACAGATGACTCCTGCTCCAGCAGGCGAGACATGAGGCTAGCCGTGAAACTTCTAGATGAGATGTATTGTTCAGCCACTGTACAAGCGTCTGCCATACCCAGTCCCGAAGCCGGCAAGGCAGAAAGAGTAGGGAGCGAACAGTTGTCCCAGGTGGTGCCTGACCCGTGATGGCTGGGATGAGCCGACCGCTGATTGCGTGTTCCAGCGGTTCAAGCAGGGACGGCAGCATGGACGAGTTCCTGCAGAGGAAGGACCACTTGTTTTGCAGGCCCTGTGTGAAGGCGGAGTAGGCGGCCTGTGACTGTGATGCAGCGATGGTCGTGAGCTGCGCAACTTCCTCACACCAGGTGTCGACCTTGGACTGGACACATTTTTCTACAAACTGATCCGTACCCAAAGGTGCTCCAAGGTGGCGGCATCCATCACACGTGACCTGCACATAGGTACCCTCGAACGTCTCGAGAGCAGCTGCGTACCTTGTGGGCTTGACCAGGAGAAGTAACTTCTGGGCGTTGCAGTGGTAGCCATACCCGGGACCGTGGCTTTTTTATTTTTATATATGGGCCTCAACCAGCGAAAACAGCCCTTAGGGTCAAATTTTTCAAAATTCCTTTTTGGTTAGAAATTTGTTGAAAAACATCAACTGAAGGACCTCAGCCAAGAAAAAGTTCAATATTCTGATTCGAAACGGGTGTATACACCAATATACAAGGTGTACTCCAAATTGGTGCAATGTATGTATACGATGTATGTGTACAATAAATATTCAGCATTCGAAGGTGGGTAGGCAGCT